ATAAATAATGCAGATAATCAAAAAATTGTCGTTTTAAACAATCTTGCCATCTTTTGTTTACCATGGAAACCTAGATGTCTGCAATAAAAATATTTTAATGTATAAAATGCAATATTAGAAATAATATTTAATATAAATTTAACAAGTAAAAATTTATTCTTTTCAAAAACTCCAAAATATATAGGATGGCCCATATAAAAAAATGTAGTTTAAGATATGTAGCGGGAATCCGGGCGCAACCGGATCATCCCAACTATAACCTTTTGTTTTCCGGAATACGCGGTTTTCTGGAGAGGCCCACAATTACTAGACCTGCCGGTGTTCGAGCCCACGATGCTGCGATGGGAGTTAATATGCCGTCCGTGTTCCATTTGGACAAGGCGAAGTTCCGCCTTGGATGATCCCGAAAATGAAAATCTTCTTAAAACTGGCGGAATACGTTAAAGAATATACCCCAGTAACAATATACAGAAGCAACTTTCTTGCCTTTCTGGAGGAGCATCGGGACTCAACCATCATCTACACTGATGGATCACGCCAGAATCAGGAGTAGGATGCGCTGTATACGTGGAATACAGGTCGCACGAGTGGACACTTCCGTCTATGACAACTGTATACGGAGCAGAACTGTATGCATTGTGGCAGGCTCTGCTGTATTGTCTAATAAATAGAGGGCACGTGTTTCTGATTGTTTGCGATAGCCTCAGTGTTATGGCCGGGATACGGGACATTTTTTCCCGTGACCCTCTTATTCAGAGAATACAAGCAATGTACACAAATGTTACGAAGTCCGGTAAGGTAGTGGAATTTGCGTGGATACCCAGTCATGTAGGAATACACGGAAATGAACTGGTTGATGCGGCAGCAAAACGTGCAATAAGAGGAACCCGAGTAGATGTCCAGGACCTAAGACCCACGGATCTTAAAGCAGCCCTGAGGCTGGCCGTGGGAAGGACGGCGAAATGGATTCCGCCACTTACGCTAACGCGAACCGAACGCGTGAAAATACAAAGGCTGCGGATAGGACATACTGGACTCACCCATGCTTATTATATACTTCGCGGAGAACCTCCTCCCATGTGTCAATGTGGTGAACGGATAACGGTCGTCCATATCGTATGTACGTGTCCAAATTTTGTCCAAACAAAAACAGCGCTGCAAATATCACCAGACCTACAGCAGAACTTGCTGAAATAACTTATTCAACATGATTTAAGTAACATAAAAAAAAGGCCAATGACCAAGATGTCGACGCCTTGGAAAGAAAAAAAAAAAAGAAGATCGTATCAGAAAAACCAAACACTATGTGTAAAAAATGTAGTGCTCAAAGAAAGTGTTGCCAAACTTAATTATTATTGCACCAATTCTTGGAGAAGTTGTTAAATATTGTTGTGTTATTTTGTTTTAGTTGTAACTTGAAAGAAATTATAGAGCGTCTGGATGTGACAATTTTGTTTAGTTCAATTAATTAACCGGGGGGGTTATTAATAATTTGAGACACAAAATTGCGTAAATTTCATGTTATAGTTTTGGTTCAATTTCTTAGAAGTGTTCTGTTGTTATTTTATTCCTAGAATTTTTTTCGATGTAAATTTCTTTTTAAATTTTATTTGCCGTTAACGAGGTATAGCGCGAAGTAGAGATAAGGTTCTTCGCAGAATTGCCGGGCGTACGTGCCGTTTAGCAAGAAGTTGAAAAATCGACGCTTCGCGTGATTGGCGGACGGGATGTTGAAGAAAGGAGAAGGGCTTTTGGCTTAAATAGAAAATTTTGGATGAGAGCGGGGCTTTTTGGTCGTTACAAAGCCAACCGGCGCTTCTTCGGTTACGTTATTTTTGAATTTTGTGGAAGTTTTCCTGCGTAGTTGGATCCAGGTTTTAATTAGAATTTTGTGTCTGCCGTTTTAAGAAGAATTTATTGAGAAGTTTAAGAAGTTTGTCGTCGTCCTGTTTTTTTTGTTATTTTGCGGAAACACGGAAGTTTTAAATATAATTTGTGGGTACCCGAAGAGAGAAGACGTCGGTGTTTGAGTGGTTGGTTCACGTGTTTGTGTACGGTTTACCTCTGTTTATCGGATTACGTTTTTTTTTCGGACTAATTTTAAATGTAAGTAGTAGTTTAGTGGTTTGTTTTGTCGTGTTTTTTTTGTAATGTTTGAGTAATTTGTTTTTTTTTGTGTGTGTCATTTATTTGTTTAAAATTGTAAAGATTTGTAAAACGGAAATTTACGCAATTTTTTGTTTGAAATTAAACCAGTCATTGCAATCCAGGTTTTGTTTATTAGAGTCAAGGAGAAGTAATTGTCGGCGTCTCTTACTTTGTTTCAAGTTGTTTAAATCTGGGGGTAAAATTTCATATTGGAATTTAAGGATTTGGTTAAGCCACCTATTTATGTCATTGTTGGAATGCTGTAGGGTGGCAGAATCCAGCTGGACCTTGAGATACAGATAAAAATTTTGTTTTCATTTTTTTTTTACTACTGAGCTAGCTAGAGGTAAATCGTGGGATTTCCAGAAGTTAAGGTTAGGTCTCACAACAATAATTTGGCGCCCAAAAACGTGGGGCAATTTCAGGGAAACGCGAAAGTAGGTAAAAATTTTGTAGGTAAATTCAGATTAGGGTTGTTTTGTCGTTCGGGTAAAAAGTTATTTTGGTACCCAGACATGTCATTTTTAAGGGAAAAGAGGTGTCCATTGTGGAGGTTAATTGTTATAGGAATTTGTAGGATGCGTAGGCGTAGGAACTTGTTAAAATGTGACAGGAAGAATTTGGTAGGGTGTGTTTTTGCAATTTAAATTAGATTAGGATGTTTAGGATAGGATTAGTTACGGGGTAGGTAGTGTTAGAATTAGTGTTAGGATTTTTTTTTGAACGTGATTTTTATTCAAGACGAGAAGAAAGAGAGTTGTTCACGATGGGAGTGTCATCTATTCAGGCAGCGAATTTTGCGGTGTTTATAGAAGCGATAAGAGAGTTGAAGAAGGATTTGGGCGAAAAAATGAAAGCGCAGAATGCGAAATTAAAAGCGGAATTAAAAGCGGAATTAAAGGAAGAAATCAGACAAGAAATAGAATTAATGAGAAAGAAGCGATCAAATGAGATGGTAATTAAAGAAGAAGTTGAAGTTAAGGAAGAAGTCGAGATTGAAAAAGTTCATAGGCAAGATGAAGAAGTCGTACAAGAGAAAGAAGATGAAGGGATTTTAGTTGAAAATAGGGTTGAAGTAGGTAGTTATTTTATTGCAGGAACTGGTAGGGAACCAGAATTGAAGGTGAAGTTGTATTGCGTGAATTATAGGAAGTTTGAAATAGAAGATGAGAATAGGGATTTGAATTATTTAATAGCGAAGAGTTTTGTGGATAATAAGATTTATTGTAGGGGTAGAAATTTACAGGCGAATTTGTTTGAGATTAAGTATGTGAAAGGGAGTAATAGTTTAAAAAGGAATAATAATTTATGTGTGGACGTTTTATCAAGGAAAGGAATAGGCGGGAAGGAGATAGAAACTAATTATGAGATTTTAGATAACCAGATAAGGGAGAATTATTTTCAGGATTTTTGGAGGAATTTTTATTATGATAGGGTAGTAGGAGACTTAGAATTGGAATTATCGATTGAGAATGAAGGGAATTTGTGTAGCTTTGAGCAGGATGAGGATTGTAGGAAGCAGGATAAGATTAAAAGAGTTAGGAGTAGTGAGTTTTTGGAAGTAGTAGGCATTGATTATTTGAATAATTTAATTATGAGTGAAAAGGGTAAACGGATTGTTGTAATTGAAGAATTAAGAGATTGTTTTATGTGTGGGATTTTTATTGAGAAGCCCTGGATTAATTTAGAAAAGGGGGGAGGAAAAGAAAAGCGAGAATGGAAAAAGTTTAGGAAAAAGATTAGGAATGATAGGGATGGTTCCCAGGCGTATTTGGTTGACAGTACAGTGCGAGATTTTTGACTTTGATTTAATTTTAGATTAGGGATGATAGGTTAGGTTAACTGCTGGAATAGGTCGGACCTAGGTTGAAACAATGCCGAAGATGGTTCGATCTATCCGGCATTTGAATAGTTAGCTAAGGGTTGTAGAGTTACAGTAAATTAGTGGTAGTTCTTAATTTTTATACTAGGATGATGAAATTTCTCAGGCTCAGCTGGTGACGTCACCGTGCGGGGTTTCAGTAATGACTAGGGAGCTGTGTTAGGCGATCGTGTCCGAATACCTAAAGCAGGTCCCGAAGTTTTTTTAAAGTTTTAATTGGTAAATTGAAAAAAAACCCCTGTAATTCCAATATTTTGTTTTGTTTTCATAGTCAGGGGAGGATTGTAATTTTGTGTTTTTGTGTTCAATTTAAAGGGGGAAAATGTTGTGTTATTTTGTTTTAGTTGTAACTTGAAAGAAATTATAGAGCGTCTGGATGTGACAATTTTGTTTAGTTCAATTAATTAACCGGGGGGTTATTAATAATTTGAGACACAGGATTGCGTAAATTTCATGTTATAGTTTTGGTTCAATTTCTTAGAAGTGTTCTGTTTTTATTTTATTCCTAGAATTTTTTCGATGTAAATTTCTTTTTAAATTTTATTTGCCGTTAACGAGGTATAGCGCGAAGTAGAGATAAGGTTGTCTTCGCAGAATTGCC